CTTCCTCTACTCATTCCCAGCCATGGAGCTTTTTGCTATCCTTTATAACATGCCCTATTTACTCAACAGGGGACAAGCTAAACCTATGTTCGCTCAGGCCTGCCTAGCGAATCAGAACTACTCCAGAAATAAAAGTTCCTATTTTGGGGAAAATCTGAAACAAACAGTTTTCAGGCTCCAGATTCAGCTGAGCTTGCAGCAACCTGAACAAACCTTAGTTTTAGAAAACAGTATATACGAATTGTAAAACTATACTTTACAAATGTTCTCTGTGCTCCTTCAGCAGAACAAAAGGGCAGAATGCGTTGATTCTTTCCCTCGTCTTCTGTATCTCTTTTGTGCAGTTGGTTATTTATAAAGAGATAGAAGGTGAAGAAGATGCATTCTATCATACAAAGACTTTAGCCAGTGCGTCAGCCCCAGCACTGGCTATATAGCATTTGGATGGGTGGAAAGCTACATCATGAATTGATTCTTCAAACTTTTTCCGATGAGCTGTGAACTCCTGGATACATGTCTTACTTTCTAGGTTCCATAAACGTATTGAACAGTCATGACCTATATAAAAAAATTAATTAATTAATTGATTGATTGATTAATTAAAAAAAACTACATTAACATGAAAATGATAAGAATAAATAAATTATCCGTAGCTGATGTACTTACTGCCAGACATCAAGTACAGGCCATTAGGATCAACCGCTAAACTTGTAACGGCTTCTAGGTGGGCTACCATTGAGTGGATGAGTTTGCCTTTGGAAAAAGAGATTGTTTGTTATTCTTTATTAATAGCTTTCCACGAATATATGCCAGTTACTACGTTATACTGGTTTCTTCAGTCACCCCTCTCTGTGTACTTACTGCATCAATAGCTTTTTTTCATCACTTAGAACAGATCGCCCTCCCTACTCTGGCCATGCTCCTGATGAGAAACAAAAGCTCAAATTCCAGATTATATTTTTGTCTTTCAAATCACAATATAAAAGTCAGTAATTTGTAAACAGATATCCCTTTAAGCCATGTGCATCAACTAGAACTCAGACATTAACCACCTACTTTGCATCCTTTAGCTACAAGAAAATTATATGGATTGTGGGAACAGAAGAAGAGACTGATACAAAGGAACAGAGAGAAAACTGGCCATAATTCTGGTGGAGACAATATATTCTAGAGTTTGAGAACATTAAATTACTCATCACTCACAGCTAAGCAAAGTCAGCAAAAGTCAACGTATTTACAAACCCTATAGCGGACACTCAGGTAAATATGGCTGATAAAACACAGTGTTTTCTCCCAGCAGAGCTCTTCGTGAATTTCCTTTAGACTAGTGAAATGTAATTCAATAAAAAATGGAAAAGGCCCAATTCAAATCAATGAGGACCAAATAGTCAGTATTATAATGCAGGAAAGATTAGTCCATGTGAAAATGAATAAAATATAACCAATGACTCAGGGATTTTCCACCTGAACACTTAGGCTATTCAAAAACGAATAATTTCAAACAAAATATAGTGATCATAGATGCCTCTACTTACACTTTCTCTCAGTATATTCACAGTAAGAGATCATTTTTATTGGTATTTGAATAAAATTTTCATTATGTTCCTACTGATAATCTAGACTCCAGGGCAAAAATATAGCATGTATTTAATATTAAATAAACTAAGATAATTCTATATGCTATCACAATAAGTAGTTCTCAGCAGATCTAAATGAAATGATCAGGAATTGAGCTGGGAGAGTACCCATATTTCAGTGCCTATTCCCTGGTGATAAAGTCATGAACAGATACCAAAATCAGCCTACACAGAGTGAAGACTTTCTGTTTTGCTTTAATATATAATCAATTTTTAATACATTCTTACCTGTATTGTTATCATAGAATTTGATGTGCCTGTCTTCATGAGCAGTGATGCTGATGGGAAGAGTGGGGTGACTAATGACTCTATTTATTTGGCAGGAAGAGTTGGCTGCTAAAAAGAAAAAATTAAAAACAACACAAATTAGTCAAAGCTACTATTTCTTCACACAAAAGAGAACTGAATACTCTCCTAAGAGACTGAAAAAGTAAATGATGTCACTTTAGTGTTTTAGTTAGTTTATTCTGAAATTGTGTTCATAATTTTAATGTTAGGAAATGAGAGCTGCCAGAGCAATACTATTCTGATAAATCTAGAGGTACTCCCTGCTACCTATGTTTGGCCACTGCAGCCGAAACTGTGATTGTCTGGATTAAGAATAAAGATAGGAAGCAATAAAAAAGCCCCAAACAAAATAATTTTGTAGTATACTCTTCACAACCTGAGAAATTATCTCCTGGCTTCCTGTATCCAAGAAGAAGCTTCAGATTTGGGATTTTGAGAGGCACAACTTAATCTATATTCTAATCAGTAAGGAGCAGTGTCAAATTATATCATTAATATAAAGTTAAGTTGGTTGAAAAAATACTGTGAGAAATGAAAAATATTTTATATTCCAAACAAATATTTTCTTCAAACAAAATTGAAAACTAATCATTTGGCATAAAATCAACTTGACTCCTCTTTGGAATAAATAGGTCAAATGCTATTTCAAACAGTATAGTTATAAATGTGCAGAACCTTAACCCAAAGACTTAAAATCAATTATAAGTCATTACCGTATTTGCCGGCGTATAAGACGACTGGGCGTATAAGACAACCCCCTAACATTTCCACTCAAAATACAGAGTTTGTTATATACTCGCCGTATAAGACTACCCCCTCTTCCGCACACCTTCCACACACCAAATAAAAGGTAAAACAATATCAGATTTGATTTTAACATTTTAATTTATATTCAAATGCTTATGACATGCAGGAAAACTGTCACAAGGCTGTATGTAATCAAACATATACATAAAACAGTGCAAGTTTATTACCGGTAAACATACCGGTAATTCACTAAAGAAAACACACTCTATAGACTGGTACCGTAGATGCTTCTCAGGAACACAGGCAAGCAGCCCACAACCTAGAGGGACTGTCAATGATAGAAGAAAGAT